TATCTTCATCATCATCNTCATTATCATCATCATCGTCTCCATTATTATTATGATCCTCATCATCATTATCATTAGTATCATCATCCTTAGCATCATTATCATTATCATCATCATCATCATCATAATCATCATTATCATAGTCATCATTATCTTCATTATCATCGTTATCATTCTTATCATTATTATTATTATAATCATCATCATCAATATCATTATCATCATCATCATCATTTTTAAAATCATCATTATCAGTATCGTTATCCTCAACATCATCATCATCATCATAATTTTCATCATTGTTATCATCATTATCATTATCATCATTATCGATATTATTAATATGATCATTATTATTATCATCATCATCATTATTATTATTATTATTAACATTTTTATCATCATTGTCGTCATTATCGCCATCATCATGATAATTATCACTATCGTTATCATCATTATTATAATCATCATCATCATCATCATCGTCATCAACCTTATTGTCATAGCCATTCTCACCGTTGTTGTTGTTGTTGTTGTTGTCGTAGTCATAGTTATCGTTGTAGCCATTTCTATTGTTATTGTCACCGTTGACAACATTATCACCATTATCGTCGTCATCATCACCATTTCTGTCATTTTTATCTTCATCATTATTATCATTATCATTCTAATTATTAGTATCATTATTATTATTATTATCGACATTCGCATCATCGTCGTTGTCGTCGTCATCGTCGTCTCATCGTTGTTGTTGTCGTTACTGTCATCATCATCATCATCATCATCATCATCATCATCATCATCATCATCATAATCATTATCATCATCATCATCATTATCATTATCATTATGATTAACATCATCTTCATTATCATTGTCATCCTCATCATAATTATTATCATCATCATTATCATCATCATCGTCATCCTGATCATCAACATTAACATTACTAACATCATTATTATTATCATCATTAACAACATAATCAATATCATCATTATTATTATCATTGTCATCATCATCATCGAAATTGTCATTATCATCATCATCGTCTTTATCATTATTAAGATCCTCATCATCATTATCATCATCATCATTATCATTATCATCATCATCATCATCATTATCATCAAAATTATCGACATCAGTATCGTTATCCTTAACATTATTATCATCATCATAATTTTTATCAATGTCATCATCATTATCATCATCATCATCATCGATATTATTAATATCATTATTATTATTATTTTCATCATCATTATCATCATTATTATTAACATTTCTATCATCATTGTCGTCATTATCACCATCATCATGATTATTGTCACTATCGTTATCATCTTCATTATAATCATCATCATTATCATTGTCGTCATCAACTTTATAGTCATTGCCATCCTCATCGTTGTTGTCGTTGTTGTCGTAGTCATAGTTAACGTTGTAGCCATTATTATTGTTATTGTCAACGTTGACAACACTATCAGCATTCTCGTCATCATCATCACCATTATTGTCATTTTTATCTTCATCATTATTATCATTATCATTCTAATCATCGGTATTATTATTATTATTATCGACATTGGCATCATTGTCGTTGTCGTCGTCATCGTCGTCTCATCGTTGTTGTTGTTGTTACTGTTGCTGTCGTCGTAGTTATCGTTGTCGTCGTCGTTGTGGTCGTCGTCATTATAAACTTTACTGTCATCATTATCATTATCATTATTATCGTCATCATCATTACCATTATTGTCATTGTTATTGTAATCATTATCATCATTATCATTTTAATCGTCATAATCATAATAATGATTATCGACATTCTCATCATCGTCATTGTCGTTGTCATCGTCGTGTCATCGTTAGTCTCGTCATCACTGTTCCTGTCGTCGTTGTCGTCGCAGCTGTCGTCGTCGTTATCATCAATGTCGTTAATGACGTCGTCGTCGTTGTCATTATTGTTGTTATAATCATCATCATTATTTTCGTCAACACTATTATTAACATTGTCACTATCATCGAAATCATTATCAGCATCATTATCGTCATCGTCATCATCCTTATTATCGTTATGGTCATGATTATAATTATTAGCATCATCATCATTATCATCATCATTATCATTATTATTTTCATCATTAACATAATTATCATTATCATTATTATTTTAATCATCATCATTACTATCATAATCATCACCAACATCAGCATTATCATTATGGTCATCCTTATCATCATTATAATTATTTTTATTGTCATCGTTATCATCATTATCAACATCATTATCATCATCAATATCATTATTATCATCATTCTTATAATCATCGTCATTATTTTGATCATCATCATCATCATCATTTTTATCATCATCATAATAGTCCTCATCATCATCATCATCATTATCATTATCATCATCATCATATTCATCATAATCATTGTCATCGTCCTCCTGATTGTTGTTGTCGTTGTCGTAGTCATCATTATCGTTGACACTCTTACCAATGTTATCGTCAACGTCATTGTCATGATGAACATTATTGTCATTATCATTACCATTACCGTCATTGTTATCGTAATTCTTATTACCATTATCATTTTATCGTTTATATTTACGGAAACATTATCATTAGAACATGATCAGCGATATTATCGTCATCAGCGTCATAATTTTTATCATTATAGTTATCATCATCACCATCATCATCATTATCATTATCATTATCATCATCATGATTACCATAATTGTCATTATTAACGTTCATTATTAACATTTTCGTCATTGTTGTCTTATTCATTATCATCATTATCATTTTAATCGTCATTATCATTATTATTTTCATCGATATTTATATCATCGTCGTTGTCGTCGTCGTCGTCGTGTCATCGTCGTTGTTGTCGTCATCGCCGTTGTCATCATTATCAGTACTATTATCATTATCATCATCATTGTCATCATCATTTTTATTTTTGTCACTATTATCATAATTATAACATAATAATTATCACTATTATCATCATCTTTATCATCATAATCATCATCATCATCATCTTCATTATTATTATCAATTCAAACAATACCATCATAATCTACATCATTGTCATCATAATCATATTTATCGTTATCATTATCATTATCTTTATTATTATCATCATCATATTATTATTAACATTATTATTATCATTAACATCATCATCATTATCATCGTCGTCGTCATCATCATTTTCATCTTTATAATAATTATCTCTACCGTCATTATTGTTATTATTATCATCGTCATTACTATTATTATTATCATCATTATCATTATCGTCATTATAAACTTCATTACCATCATCATCATTACTATTATCATCATCAATATCATCAACGTCGTTGTCATCGTTGTCTTTATTGTTATTGTCGTCTTCGTCGTAGTCGTTGTTATTGTTGTCACCATTACGTCATCGTTAATATTATCATTATTATTATTAATATTATCTTTATCATTATAGTAGTTATTATCATCATTATTATTAAGATCGTCATTGTTGTAATTAATATTATTAACATTGTCATCATCGTCAATGTTGTTGTCGTCGTCGTCGTGTCATTGTTGGTGTCGTCATCACCGTTGCTGTCGTCGTTAGAATCGTTTTCGTCATCGTTATAGTCGTCGTCGTTGTCATTATTACTGTCATCAATATTATTATGATCATTATCGCCTTTATTATAATTATTATTATGATCATTATTATTATTATCATGATAATCATTATTAACTTTATTTGCGTTATCAAAATTGTTATTGTCATCATTGTCGTCATCATCGTCATCCTCATCGATGTCGTCGTTGTCGTCGTTGCTGTCATCGTTGTCATCGTTATCGTTGTCGATGTCGTCGTTGTCGTCGTTAACATCATTGTTGTTATCATCATCATTTTTATTGTTATCATCATGATAAAGTTAACATTATTATTAAAATTACTATCATCATTATTATCGTCATCGTTTTACCATTATCATCTTCGTCATCATTATTATTATTATCTACATAATTATCATTATCATTATCATCATCATCATCAACCTTATAATTATCGTCGTCATCACACTTGCTGTCAACGTCATCATAGTCGTCCTTATCCTAGATGTTGTCGTCGTCGTAGTCATCATTATCGTTGTCACCATTACTATTGTTATTGTCAAAGTTATTGTCATTTTAATTATTGTTTTCGTAATCAATATCATCATTCTCATTCTAATAGTCATATTTATACCTATTATGATTGACTTGTAATTATCGTCGTTGTCGTCATCGTAATCATCGTCGTTGTTGTAATTATTACTGATATCATAATCGTTATCATTATCATCGTTTTTGTTAAAATGATTATCATCATTATTATTATTATTATCATCGTGATCGTTATTATTCTTATTATTGCTATGGTCATTATCATCGTCGTCGTTGTCGTCGTTGTCGTCGTTGTAAATGTTGTAGTCGTTGTCGTCACTGCTGTTGTCGTTATTGTCGTCGTCTTTGATGACGTCGTCGTCGTCTCCATCAACATTGTTGTTATACTAACTATTATCATCATCATTATTATCATCATTTCTCTTATTATTATTATTGTCATTAACGTCATCATGACTATTATCATTATAAATATTATTATTGTTATCATCATCATTATCATTATCATCATTATCATTATCACAATTATTATAATTATTATCGTTAACATCGTCATGACTATTATCATCCTTATTATTATTATTATTATTATTATTATTGTTATTATCATCATAAATATCGTCAGCATCATCATTGTTATCATCGTTATTATTCCTATTATCATAATTATTATCATTATCATCATCATCATTATTATCCTCATCGCAATCAGTATTATTAAAATCATCATTATTAAAATTATCATTATTTTCACCATTATCATCATCATCATCATCATCATCATCATCATTATTATCATCATCATAATTTTCATTATCATCATAATCAACCTCATTGTCATCGTTTTCCTCATTGTTTTTGTCGTCGTCGTCGTAGTCATCGTTATCGTTGACACTATTACCATTGTTATCGTCAACGTTATCGTCACAATCAACATTATCGTCATCATCATCACCAATATCGTCATTATTATCGTAATCATTATTATTATTTTTCTTCTATTCGTCATAATTATGATTATTATTATCGACATTGTGATGATTGCCGTTGTTGTCGTCGTAATTGTGTCATCGTTGTTGTCGTCGTCAACGCTGCTGTCATTGTTTTTGTCGTTGCTGTCATTGTTATTATCGTCTTCGTCGTCCATGACGTCGTCGTCTTTGTTGTCATTAATGTTGTTATTATAATTAACATTATAATCGTCATTGTTATCATTAACATTGCCATTATTATCAAAACTATCATCATCGTTATTATAGTCATCGTCATTATCATTATCATCATTATGTTCATTTTCATTATCATAATCATCATATTTATCAACATCATCAACATGATTATTATCATCGTCATTATCAACATTATCGTTGTCATCATCACCATTATCGTCATTGTTATCGTAATCATTATCATCATTATCATTCTAATCATCATTATCATAATTGTTATTATTAATATTGTTATCATCATGGTTATCGTCGTCGTCGTTGTCGTTGATGACGTCATTATTATTATTAAAAGTGTCATTATTATTAATATCTTCATGATTATTATTATCGTTATCGTCATCATCATTATCATTATTATCATCATCCTTATCATCATTATTACCATTATCATCATCATCATTATCATCATCATCATTATCATCATCATTATCGCTATCATCATAATTATTATCATCATCGAATTTATAATTATTGTCGTCTTCACTGTTGCTGTCGTCGTCGTCATTGTCATCAACATCGTTGTGGTCATCGTTAATGTCATCATTACCGTCATCATTATTATTATTATCATCATCGTCTTTAATATAATTATCATTTTAAATATTATTATTATTATCGTCATCACCGTTTTCATTTTTATTATTGTTAACGACATTATTATCATTATCGTGGTCGTCATTGTTGTCGTTGCCGTCAGTGTTGTCGTTGTCGTCGTTTCTGTCGTCATTATTATTGTCATTGTCGTGGTTGTCGTCATCGTCATTGTTATTATTATCGTTACTTTCATCATCATCATCATTGTTGTCATTATGATTATTATTATAATTATCATTGTCATCATATTCAACATTGTAATTATCATTATCATTAACACCCTCATCATTATTATTATCGTTAACTTTAATATAACTATTATTATCATTATTATTATTATCTTAACCATGATTATCGTAAGCTTTATCATCGTTATCAACACTTTAACTTTAATATAACTATTATTATCATTATTATTATTATCTTAACCATGATTATCGTAAGCTTTATCATCGTTATCAACACTTTTATCATCATTATCATCATCGTCATCCTCATCATTATCATTATAAAGATTATTATTATTTTTATCATTAACATTATCATCATCATTATTATTATTATCAACATCGTCAATATCATCAATATCATTATTATCGTCATCATTATCACTATCTTAATCATTATGATTATCATCATTATCATTATTATCATCATCATTATTATTATTATTAATATCATTATTATCATCATTATCATTATTATCATCATCATTATTATTATTATTAATATCATTATTATCATCATTATCATTATCACAATCATTATAATTATTATCGTTAACGTTATCATGACTAACAATTTTATGATTATAATCATTGTTATCCTTATTATGATTATTATTATCATCATCCTTATTATCATTATCATTATCATGATTATTATTACCATTATCATCTTTATCATCATCATTATCATTATCATCATCAACATCATTATCATCATCATCATTATTATTACTATCGTTATCATTATCATCATTATTGTCGTCATTATCAGCATCATCATGATAATTATCATTATCGTCATAAACGTCATCATCATCATCGTCATTATTATCATCATCATCATCAATATAACAATAATTAATATTATTATTTTTATCATTATCATTATTATCATCTTTATTAACCTTATTATCATTGTCATCCTCATATTGTTGTCGTCGTCATCGTAGTTATCGTTATCGTTGTCACCTTTACCATTATTATTATCAACTTCATTGTCATAAGTGACATAATCGTTATTATTATTACTATTATCCTTATTGTTATAGTAATTATTATCATAATATTTATTTTAATGGTCATTATTATCCTTATTATTGTTAGGGACATTGTTATCGCCGTCGATGTTGTCGCCTTTGTCGTCGTCATCGTTGTCGTCGTCATTCTCGTGGTTGTCACCGTCTTAGTAGTCGTCTTTTATGTCATCATTACTGTCCTAATTATTATTATTATTATTATTACTTTTGTATTTGTCATAATAGTGTCATCATC